TAAGCCCTAGGGTTTCTCCTATTCTTTCCTGTAATGTTTTCAGGGTGGTCTGCTTTGACTTCAAGGTCTTTGAACCATTTGAAGTTTATTCTGCTGCAGTGTAATATGTAAGGACCTACCTTTAGTTTATTACAGGTATTTAGCCAACTTTGGCAGCACCATTTACTTTAGAGGCTGTCTTTCTTCCATTCTATTTTTTAGCTCCCTTATTGAAGAGTAGGTGACTATAGGTCTGGGGGTTCATTTCTTGGTCTTCAATTCCATTCCATTGGCCCTCAAGTCTGTTTTTTTATTGTGAAAATACCATACAGAGGAGTTATAATTACATGGGCAAGATAGTGAGTACATTTAATATCAACCATTGTTTCCCCATTCTATCCCTTCCCTTCTCCACCTCCTCCCCTTACCTCAAGTCTGGTTTTTTGTCAGTACAAAGCTGTTTTGATTACTATGTCTTTGTAGTAGAGTTTGAAGTTTTGTATTGAAATTCCTCCAGCATTGTTCTTTCTGCTTAAGATTATTTTTTTATTCGGGGTCTCTATTGTTCCATATGAATTTTTGGATACTTTCTCCTATTCATTGAAAAATGAGGTTGGGATATTGATTAGTATCCCATTGAATTTGTAGATAGCCTTTGGAATTATTGCCATTTTCACAATGCTAATCTTCCCAATCCAGGACCATGGGAGGTTTTTCTACTTCCTTGCTTCTGTTTTAATTTTCTTTTTCATAATTTTGAAGTTTTCATCATAGATATCCTTCACTTGTTTAGTTAAGTTTACTCCTAAGTATTTTATTTATTGTGGGGCTATTACAAAAGGAGCTGCTCTCCTGATTTCAGCTGCAAGCTTCTCATTGTTGGCATACAGGAAAGGCATTGATTTTTGAGTGTTAATTTTGTATCCTTCTACTTTGCCAAAGTTTCAAATCACCTCCAGCAATTTGGGAGTGGAGTCCATTGGGTTCTTTAAATACAAGATCAGCCTCCTTCACATCCCTTCCCAGCCTCCCTCC